CACGGGGACACCCTCGGATGGGGAGGAGGAGGAGGGCGGTCGAGGCGCGGTGGTGGGAAGCAGTGTGTCCAGGCCGACAAGGATCTCCTTTATGACCGGTGTCTCGCAGACCAGCGTCAGGGGGAGGTTTGGCTTGCGTCACTCAAATGTGTTCAGCGAAATGTCAATTTAGGCATTGCGCCATGAACGGATGTAAGGCATATTCTAGGGTGTGTCCAGAGAAGAAATATTAGGCGCAGAACGTATTGTTTGCACACCTGTTTTCCACCTAATAAGACCTCAAGCAAGGCTCTTCAGAGCATCGAAAGACAAGTCTACGTGAGTTTCGTGGCTTCTCACAATAGCACAGTGTACGACGATGGCAACTAATAAACAGCACATTCGACGGCACTGCATTTAATGCAAATTCCAACAATGTATGCCGCACCTGACTTTTCATGTGATGAGTTTGGTGAAAATTTGGTTCATGTATGTTTGGTGGGTGCACGCAGCATTGTCAGCAGGAGTGCGGTTGTAGCTTTACGCGTTACATTCACATTTGCAATTAGGATTACCTAAATGTCGAGAATATTTTGGATTTGAGTAGAATGGTAAATACCGATTGACTTTATTCGTGAGAAATTAGGGCGCCATTGGGTCATAGATTGTGACGTTAACGTTTGAAAGCCATAAATGTTGTTTAACCGCTGAACTTATCTGCGCAACTTTGAAACTGTCAAATATCCAACCTTCTGAATGGACTTGAACGAAGCAGAACAAACACCCTCGGCAGATTTTTTTGGGTTAAGATGGTGTTCACTTTTTTTCTACCTCAAGATGGCGTCATATCGCCTCTTAGCTCAAAATGCTGGTTCGTCTTTTCGGCAATTTGCGAACGTCTGTATGAATCAGTCTGTTATCTCCAAGGAGACTTCATTAAAGCCCTGTACATTTAGCGTTTGTTGTAGCATTGTGTGTTTTTATTGTAGTCCATAAAAAGAGTATCTAACTTATTTGGCTATTGCTTTTTGCCCGGTTTTCCAGTAAATTTATTGATTATGAAAAGTAGAGAACAAGGAATATGATCTTGGAAATATCGTCCATCGGCTTCCATGACCTTGCGCCATCTCTCAGGTAACGTACGAATGCGATCACCAAAGAAAATTTCAGGCTTCAAGGCAGTAAAGTCTTCAACGACGAATTTCCACACATCGACGTCAACAACGCCATGAACACTACAAGTTGTTTTGTCCCGTATTTTGGAAGCATTTTTCCTTGCTGGGATGCGTTTAAATGAAGTGCCACAGAATGTGATGTTTACCAGTTGCCATCGTCGTAAACTCTGTTATTTTGAAAGGAAATGTAACTCACATAAACTTTTCGTTCGGTTTTCTGAAACCTTGAGTCCCATCCCTTAAAAACTACAAAAGATGACGGAAATATCTCTATTTTTGATGCGAATTCAATGTGACTACTAATTTTAACACCTAATAGCTAATACCTTTTACTCTGCAGTTTTGTACAATTCTGTCACCGTTGTCTACTTCTGTCCCTTTAGTCCTTCACCTCACTCTACTCGCTGCACACATTTGAGTGGCGCAAGCCAAATCTCCCCCTGACGCTGGTCTGCGAGACACCGGTCATAAAGGAGATCTTTGTCGGCCTGGACACACTGCTTCCCACCACCGCGCCTCGACCGCCCTCCTCCTCCTCCCCATCCGAGGGTGTCCCCGTGGTTCCGCTGATCCGCGCCGCCCTCAACCAATTCGAGGTCCTCAACCAAACCCGCCGCGATGGGCCTGGGGATTGTGTTCGTCGGCGCCACCTCATCCTCGTCATGCTCTCGCCGTGCCTCGGCGTTGCGTCGCTTGAAGCCGAGGCCGCCGCCTTGGCCGGGGAGGCGGTGGTCGAGGAGGCGGAGTTGGCGGTGGAGGATGGTGCTGTGGCGGCAGCGGTGGCGGCGGCGGACGAGGCTGAGGGACCCGCAGCCAGAAAGTCTCGCAAGGGCGTGCTGGCCCAGTTGCGCGAGCTGCGAGTCGCCGTCAGTGCCTTCACGCCTTGCGAGCACAAAAACCTCATGCGGCTTGTCTCCGTGGCCCCCAGCTGATCCGCGGCGCCCTCAACCAGTTCTTTTAAAATCGCCCAGGAAAGGCTCAGCTTTGCAAGGCTATGCCGAACACAACGTGGAGCATTGGGAAAATTGCCTCAGGGCAACATGGCTCTACTTTAAGCCCTTGTGAAATCCACTTAAGGACAGAGACCAATGACAATTCATGATTCCAGTGACTGTATACAGGCCTTAAGACTCAAGTTATTGCTGTTGTAAGAAAATACGAAAACGAATTAAACATCGGTGTACAACCTTTCAAGTCTACAAGACATACGCGGTGTTAGCAAGTTGTATAACGTGTAAAATACAAGACTTCAGAACTCACGTCACGCCCGTAGTCCGTGTCCAGAGGATGACCGCCGTTAAGATCACTAAAGAGGGAAAACGTCGCGTGAGTGGAAAACGTAGCAACCGGATTGAGAATAGCAACTGCGGCAGGGAACTTGGAGTCATTAGTTGGATTACTCACGTTGAACATTGCGCCTCAATACGCCAATGCTCTACTCTAATCATCAATTTCTATCGTAATTCTTGAGAGCTTCGACTTTATATGCAATTTAACTAGCAGGATATGCGCACCCTGTTTCACAGCTCAACGGCAAACTCGAGCATGTCCGCGAAATTAAATGACGTTATGGCTTTGCGTGCAATTAAATTATCAAGAGGTGAAGAGTCGAGATGTGATTAGGGTGCAGCAATCAATAAAATTGCATTCACCTCCGAGGAAAGATACCCCCTACAGAGCTACTGAGGAAGAAACTGACGGAACGAGCTAGTAACTTGATGACCACGCTAAATTCCGAAATAAGGGGAAAAAGTAAACCACTCACCTCAAAATTTTGTGCAAAAAATGCGATTTGAAGTACTGCATAAAGCGTGTATTCTTCGAGAAAGGATAACACCGCTCAATCATAATCACACAATCCACGGGCTGCAATTTGTCCGCGTACTTTTGCACGGTTTCGAGAAACGGTTGTCGCCGGCGTTTGCGTGAGGTGAGCAAATTGGCGATCGGAGGAGCTGCTACATCGGGCTGGACCTGTTGAGACTGCGGGCTAACAACTGCCGTGGGTGTGACAAACTCCTCCCCAGCCGTCAGCGATTCTTGGTGTTTTGGCTGCTCACCACTTGGTTTCGCATCTGTCTCGCCAGAAGCGAAGAGCAAGCTTGAAATGGCACTGTCTTCAATTGGCGTGGGTGGTGAGGGTTCAAGTTTATCGGCTGGGGCATTTGCGTTTGAGGGTGGGGCCGGGGCCGGCGTCGGCGATGGGGCAGTTGACAGCTCCTTGAGGAAAGGCGTTTGATGATCAGATTGTTGCTCAGAGGATGTGGAGAGGGGATAACCCGATTCGATGGTCGCACCACTAGCATCACCACCTCCACCACCAACAAAGCAGCCCTCTTCCGGGGGATATACGGGGGCATAGGCGAAGGCAGTTGGGTTAAAGCTTGAGGGATGCGAAGTAGGCCGTGGTGGGGGTTGTGGAGGAACGAAACCATCATAAGGAGGGACGCTAGTGGCTGTCCAGTGTCCTGGAACATCGGGACTCGGCATTACATCGGGTGGTGGAGGCGGGTGTATATTACACTCTGGGGCATCGGTCATTAAGTAGAATGGGTAGAAGGGATCGCCTAAAATATTAAGCGAAAAAATGAGACAGGCGTGATATATCCCTACATTACAATTTTGTGGGGAGGATGGATTATCAGGGTTAAAGTGCAGCTTGAAGTTCAGGCAATGCTCTGCAACTTACAACTTGAAGTGGGAAAGTTGGATGCGTTCATAACTAGTACCCAATGAAAAGAGAGATGTTAACAGAGATTGGGATTTATAGTTAACCTAAAGAAGCAACCAAAGTGGTGAGTAAAGATATGGCTTATTCGGGTAAGCATATCCGCCGATTGCAGGTAGAAAGCTCTGTATCCGTCACCCAATTAACAGCACGTAGTCAAAAAAACAGTGAAACTGTAGTGGGCGCATTACCAAGAAGACCATCCTGTTGAAAGAGAAAGTACCACTCATAATAAATATTTGAAAAAGAACCAAGTTTACTTAAATGACGTCAAACCGAAAACATCAAATTGTTGTCTCAAGAAGAAGGCGAAGCAAAAAAGGAAAATCGATCCATACCAACATGCCGGAAAACATGTTTAAAGAATGGAGGAGGGAGGACAAATATTTGTCAAATACATCAAATGATTTCAAAAAGATTCAGTAGATTATAACACAAAATAAAACAACAGTGAGAAACGGTGACGAAATAATCGCAACAGAAAGGCATGTTCTGAACTGCAACTCACACACTCGGCATGACCTGAGGGCTAAACTTTTAAACTTTGGATTATTTAAACCACAAAACAACGAGAAAACTAGAATCTTATAATTCATGCACCATAACTCCCGAGGTGAGGGGCTTTGCCTCCGATTACAGGCATGAATGTAATTTCTAAGTTAGTTATTTGATTGATCGTGTTTTTTTTTCATCACAATGGAAAATGAACCAAGCAATCATCATAAGTCGCAGTAAAATCATATAAATATTAACGCAGAAGTACCCCAAGATCTTTTCGCTAGTACTAATATACACGTACGGGCGATTTTACCCCAAATGAGTAATGCATGCTCTGAATAAAAACAAGTAAATCTGGACAAAAGTAATCTTAGCAACACATGAGGTACCCAGGGCTGCTAGTTTACGGACTTGATCGAAGGACACGATGCTCAACCACAGAATTCACGGGCCACATATATATGAATGATTTCACAATAAAACTAAAGCATATGCATACAGCAGGTGGTCAAAACCCACATAACCAAATTTAAGATGAAGTTCACGCCAGAATGCACGTTATGGACTACAACATAAATTTGAACAGGCCAAGGTCACTACACTATTAGTAAAAAAAGACATTACGACGTTTAATGGGCAGAAAAAACAGTTGGGATGTGAGATATGACCGAAAAATATTTCATACGTGCTATAAGTATTTAAATAGAGAACTCATAACGGGCTAGTAAGGCAAAAAGAGATAGTAATAACTTTTGCAGCCAAAGAGGCCCCGAGAGAAGGGAACAACATGTATGTTGCCAAGTATGGTTTTAAAATACGTCAACAACCCTTACACTACAAATGTAAATAAATAAGGACAAAAGTTCTTAAACTCTAATAATAATTCTCGAACCAGAATCTTTTGTATTGGTTTTACAAGACATTGTACCAAAGTCAGTAAACAGGCAACACAACAAAATGAATAAAAAATGTTAAAAATATTATGTTACGTACGACTGTTAATAGTAGTAACTATATATGACAACGATTCATGTGATATCTTGTGAAGTTCGAGATTCACACCAAAATAAACTGAACGACTTTGGCGCTCTAAGATTCAATCCATTAAAACCAGACATACTTCGGAAAAATATTAAAATATTTTGTAATATGTCCTACATTTAGCAGCGCTAGGTTTGTAAAACAAGGCCGCGGCGTCATTTTCACTTCTGTTTTTGTATTCGTTGTGTAAAAAATAAGCATATAATGTAAATTCCTAATTTGATATTTCGGTTTTACCATAAGTTAAAAATTTTTTGGAGCAAGTATCACTTGAGACTCCCGCATGAAAACTGGTTACTGCTATCTATAACAGCAGAATGGAGCTAAAATTAATGTACTAATCCACTCAGTTAGAGACCATAACTTCCAAGGAATTCATTAACAATGACAATATTCTTATTAATTTTATTTCATGCTAAATGGAGGTGTACGAAAAGAATGGAGCGTTTGCTAAGTCACTCTTATTAAAATTTACGTTCCTTAAGCAATACTCGGAATATGCTCATTTATTGATCTGTGCCTCACAGACCTTCAAATTATTCAGTGGGTATTTCAAATTACGTGGTACTTATGTGCGTAATGCTAATTGTTTCTCGTTATTTAGGTTTAAACACATGGGCTTGCCTAGCGTACCCTTTTTGGTTGATCTTTTACCTGAAACAGAACCTGCGTGTATTCCTAACGATGTAATTGCAGTTTAGATAACACGAAATGTTTATAGAATGTACACGATTGAATTGCAGAAGCAGAACAGATTAGCAGGCATGCTCTCCTTTTCAAATATCTGTATTGTACTGCCGTAATATACTTTATCGGAGTTATTTCATCAACTTTTACGTAATATATTCCATCATATGAATCACCTAATGCAGTATGCTAATTAGCAAATGTCAGTCGGGTTTAAGTGCATTACTTAAAAAGGCATTTAATTTTCATTTGTTTACAAAAAAGAGTTACTACTGCTGTCAGTGAAAATTAAATCAACCTTATTTTAGAATTTTTGAAAGCTCATTTCAGCAAACAACATGAAAGCCCTTGAACAGCACTCTATTTTGCAAAATGCGAAACGTAACCTTAACCAAGCCATAGGATTTTGCGTAATTGACCTCACAGGCAATTAAAAGACCTCAATAGATTAAGTAGGATGACGGCGGGAGTAAGACACTTTAATTATACAAAGATGTTTTGTTTTGAAGGATAAATCATGAATATTCTGCAAGCACCTGTTTGTTTTCATGACGATTGCGTAGCATATATGTCAGAGTTCAAGGAAAAGTCAGTGTTTCGCTTTTAGTCAAGGAAAGGAGCTTATAGGAATCGTCATCAAAACTCATGATTATACTTTACCGGTACTAAACTGCTACGGACCACTAAGTCTCCTCCAATCCGCATCCTTACAAATCCACATCCTTCAAACCCTTTATCGATTAAACCCCCATATGCATCCAAAAATAAGAAAGACAAACAAAGCTGCAAGGGCAAGTGGATTTTTTGAAATTCAATTTGCATAATTCACGGTTTTTGCGGTGTTGATCAACTGGTGCCTCTACCTATCTGGAAATCGCACATAGTGCAAACGAAGTAGAGTTTGGGCTTTCGGGTACATTGAACATGACAATATATTTACTCAATCGACGAGCTGATGACTGGTTAGAGTAGAAACGAAAACAAATGCATGATTAGCAGGATGAAAAAACACTGAATGCATTCACGTTTGAACAATGATACATCTATTAATATTGCCTGACTAGAGGTTAGGAAGAAATTTTCATGTGTCATCTTCTGAAATCCTATGTAAATTAATGTTATAGATGGGTGATCTGCGACATTGGTCTACATGAATGTAACAAGTATGCTTATTCTAAATGCATTAACGGGTAAGGACACACATATCACAGCTAGCAGGAGTACAATTACGTCATAAAACGCGACTCTGAGACTACGTTACGGTGGCTTTGTAAAACCCCTGAGCACGGGAATGAACAGAATTTGGTGCTTCAGATAGATAGATGTGGATTTACAGAGAGCAGCATAAAGTTAAGCTCAGTCGATTCTACAAGCCACTTTTTGGGGCAGAATTAGAGCACATGTGTGTTTGAAGTTCGGGCCAAAAATCTTGCATAAAATAGGCCCTCCTCTGCACGACGTGAAGACTGGTTAGAAGAGAAATGAAAACAATTGGATAATTGGCGGGATGCATAAACACTGAATGGAGTCAAGTTTGACCAATAGTCTACTTATGCAGTGACTAGAGGATTTAGCACTACCTTACAACCCTCTAGTTAACAGCCCGTAGCTACCCGAGGATAGGAAAAAGGAGGCG